GGAGCACCGCCACGCTCCCAAGCGGCGCACTGTAGCAGTGCACCACCGGGCCGGCCCAAGGGCAGTTAAGTGGGAAATATGTATCACACACTTTAACAACGTGTATGTAATTCAACTTAAATTCTGGGAATTTATCCTAAGAAACTGATAAGAGATTTATACTAAATTTTCTATAAGAGTGTTCATTAAAGTGTTGTTTATAACAGAAAAAGATAGAAATAACTCATATTTTAGAAAGGAGATTAATAAAACAAATCATGAAGCAATGTATACTTCTAGGCCCCGAAAGAAGTTCATAGCAACATTAAATGAAAAAAGTTGGGTAAAGATGTGAAACAGGAACCCAATAATGTAAAAATACTGAGAAACCACATTAACATTTTCAAACATTGTTATCTGGGTGGCAGGATGACAGGTACTTTTTATTTTTTTAATTTTTGCTTGATCATATTTATAAATAGTATATAATATAGTAGCCAAAATTTGTTAATACCTTACTATAGACCAAGTTATTTATGATCACTATTCATTTAATCCTCACAACTAGGAACTACTGTTATTTCATCTGTATATAGGAAGAAACTAATTCAGAATCTTAAGGAATTTGTCCAAGGTCACATAGCTGCTAAGAGGCACTAAGCAACCCAGGGTCTATGACCCAAACTCAAAATTACACAACCAGCTTAAGAAACATATACTATTTGCAAAATGTTTAATTTTAAAAGTAAATGAAATTAAGTTGCTTTTATTGTCTTAATTTTATAAGTCTAGGTTTTTTGGGTTTTGTGTTTTTTTTCTTTTTTTTGCCTCAAATAAAAAAAGGTATAACTGGTCATAATTACCTCACATGCTATTTAATCCACACAAAAGGTATACATCTCACAAGAATAAGGAACAATGTTAACCATGGACTTGTGATTGAAGAAACTGCCCCAGTTGTCTTTTAAAACAGATTTGAAATACCTGTGTCCAAAAAATGCAAATGGTTTATCCTGGATGACTGGCAGCAGAACACAAGCAATTTCATCAACTATCTGGTAGATGTCATTTGCAAAAGGTTCTTCTAACCGACTTTCTCTTCCAGCAAGCCTTATGGAGTGCACTGGATATTGAGAAACATGTTATCATGCATACAATTAAAGAAATGCGTGATATTGTAAAAGGCCTCATATTTACATAATATGAACAATTTCAAAAAACAAATAAAAATGGTCAAGTACAGTGAGAAATTTTAGAATCTTGTTGGCAAGAAAAGCAATAACATAAAATTCAGCAGACTAAAAATTAAAAAATGTCATCTAACTACAAAATTCCTAGAAATGCTGGATGAAACACACATATAATAAGATGATAAATTAGCTCATAATAAAGTAAAAAGAATACCTAGGAGAAAAAATTAAGCGTACTGAAAATTCCAGTGATGGGCATGTGCTAATGAAATGTTTTCCCCTGACAGCCAAATCTATATCAGGAAAATAGAACATCAGCTTTCAAGCGTGTCAAGATGGTTGGGAGACAAGGCATTGGAATGCCTTAAACTCTTGAGAGTTAGAACTGAGTCCTCTACATAAAGCCAAAAGCTCTAAGCTCTAACCTCTGTATGAAATGATAAACTAGAAAAAAATCCTCCTAATGGTAAAGGGACAAAATAAGACCTTTTTGGTTTTGCCTTGGTTCTGGATATTGGGGGAGGTTGAGGGGGGCAGGAGAGAATCTGTCCTTAGACTTTTTAGGTAAAGATTTGAATTTATACAAATTGGAAGTTACTTATATTACCTTAATAGTCTGATCAAAATGAAGCTGAAAAAAAATAACTCAAAAGGGTCCTAGGCTGGTAGCATCTGGGATACCTAACAGAAGCAGTGACAATTATTTCCTTATGAGTACATATACAACATAAGCATCTCCAGAATCAAGAATCAAGTTGATTACAAGTAACTTAGCTTGCAAGAGCAACACCAACACACTTTAAAGGAATACAGCAAAATCAAGCACCCAACTATGTAAAACTCACAATGTCTAGCATCTAATCAAGACTCACCAGACATGTTAAAAAGCTGGAAGATATGACTGATAACCTGGTGTGAGCAAGGGGGAATCAAGCATGAGAAACAGACAAAAAATAAGAAATGATGAAATTATCAGATAAGTACCTTAAAATAGCTATTAAAAATACAAATATGCTCAATAATGTAAATGAAAACATGAACATGATGAGAAGAGAAATTAAAGATTTTTAAAAGATCCAAGTGAAACTCCAGATACGTAAAATACAATATCTAAAATTTTTATACATGTACAACACATGGGATTAATGACAGATTAGACATAAAGAATAAGTTCAGTTGGGCCGGCCCGGTGGCGCACTGCCACAGTGCACCGCTTGGGAGCACGGCGGCGCTCCCGCCGAGGGTTCGGATCCTATACAGATCAGCCGCTCACTGGCTGAGCGAGGTGTGGGCGCAACACCAAGGGTTGCGATCCCGTTGCCAGTCCCAGTCCGGTACGGGCGCGACACTGAGGGTTGCGATCCGTTGCCGGTCACGAAAAAAAAAAGACAAAAAGGAAAAAAAAAAAAAAAATAAGTTCAGTCAATTTGAACATATAGAAAAAGAAACTATCCAAAATCAAGCATAGAGGGACCATGACAAAAAAATGTATGGATAATGAGTGTCCTATGATACAATATAAATCAGTCTAACACAAGTGTAGCTGGAGGCCCAGAGGAGAGTAGAGAGAAGGGAAACAGAAAAATATTTGAAAAAATAATGACTGAACCTACAAAACACACCTTACTAATTCATTCTTATCTACCTTAAGTGACTCCACATATTTGCCTTACCACAATTTGCCACCCTTTGAAGCTCAAAGTCCTTATCCTTTGTGTCATTACTTCTGCAAAACTTTACTGTTCTTCTGTTACAATGCCATATCAGGTCAAGTTCTAACCATCCCTCTGAGTCACTATTGCTGAGTGCTCCCACATGTAAGCAAGATGCGCAGATTAATAAACTTCTGCTTGTTTTCCTCTTGTTAAAAAA